CGATAGGATTTTGACACTGTGGCTGGCTCCTCTCAAAATGACTGGGAGATGAAAAAAGGCTGTCCCTGGCTGGGAGAAAGGAGAAGTCTGAGGAAGCTATGATATCATGCTGCTTAAAATATGGAGTTCACATCTGGTCAACCCATTATAGACAATATATGGTAGCACTTTAAAAGGTACAGGGAAGGGTCAGAGGGCAAAGCCCATCACTAAATGATATGAAGAATAGGAGATGACACAAAAAAGGAATAGTGGGGGCAGAGAAAAGAGAGACAGAAATAAATCTGTATTGACTGTGAGGAAAAGAAGTTAATGGGAAATTTAATTAAAGAAAATACAAATGATTGAGCATTGCAGGTGGTAAAGTAAAAGGTTATGAAATGGCATTAAAGTATTGTCCTAAAAGGAAGGGTAGTCGTCCTGGGAAGCTACTGGTGTGTAAAAAAGGAGCTCTCTGGCTTGGGGATCAGTGTCCAGCATGGTCAGAGCAGGGGCTGTGGGTTTCCTAGCAGTGCCCCATGCAGCCTTCACCCAGATGCAGCCACTTCATGGCTGCTCAGGATATGCCTGTTAGCTGGGAAAAAGGACTCTGGTCCCACCTCACTGCCCTGGCCTTGGGCTCTGCTCTCCAAGCAGCAGTCTGGGGATGAACCCAGAAAAAGACATGGGCTGGATCAATGAAAGTGTGAGATGGGTGGAAGGGGAACAGCCTGGGGAGAAAATGGCTATGAAAATCGTATGTGTGGGAGGAGAGAAAATAAAAAAGAGAGATAGGGAAATAACTAACAAAATGGGAAAAGGGTGATGTTGTAGGCGCAGGAAAGCAGAACAAAGTCAAGATAGTGGTAATATGATGGAAGAAGAAGTAGGAAGAGGTGACAGGGAAGAACAAAGTGAGAGGCACGTAGAGGGTATAAGGGAAGAGAGCCTGAGAGAGGTAAAGGGAGACACAGATGTAACATGAGCAGTGATGTGGGAGCAGCAGCAGGTGAGGAAAGCGGTGCAAGAAATGTTTGGCCTGTGAGCAGAGAAGGCAGGATAGAGTGTCTCTGGAGTGTACAAAGAGATTTTGCCTATAGGAGAGATTCTAACAAACTAAGTTTGGGCTTTTTTTAAGATGTAGAAGAAAAAGTAAGAGATTAGATCTTCTCAGGAAAAGGTCAGCTAGGGATCATCTTTCCTGTGTATATACTATTCTTCATTTCCTGCTTGACTTAAAATTGATTTTCATTTGCTTTCCTGATGTACAATAAGAGTCAATTCTTTTGTCTTTCTGGAGTGTGTCTATTCCCAGATGCTAACAAAGGCCCAGTGTTTGTGTTCTGCATTCACGTGTGCAGTATGTATCCATGTGGCACTCTGCAATGGCAAATGAGCACTGCTGGGGCAAAGAACTCAACGTGTTGCAGGAGGGAGACCAAACAAGTGTTTTCCTTAATTCTAACATAGAACTGAGGTCCAGAGATGGCAGATAACCTGACCAAGGTCACTCCAGAGGTTTGCAGCAGAGCTGGGATGTTAGCTGCAGATTCTCAGACTCTTAACTTTCAGCTGACCTACTATCAGGAATTTGGCTAGGAATCTTACAGACTGCTACTTATAAGAAGTTCAGCTAAAGAAATGTGCATTTTTAAATTGGGAAGGCACTGTGGCTTTTTTCACTCCTTCTTTGTTGCATTTTAAGGTGTGCTGGATGTAACAGCCTTGGGCTTTTCAATCCTGCTACCTGTGGACCATTCATGAAAAGGAAAACTATGCCAAAATGGCTTAAGCATCTCAGGGTGGTGAGCAGTTGTAATGGAGACTACTGTGCTCAGAGCAAAAGCTCGAAGCAGCTTTCTCATAAATCCTGCTTTAAAACATCGTGTACTACTTTCTCACTAATATGTGGAACTGACTACCTACAAAATAAAATATGAAAGTATGTCAGAATACAGAAGGGCTAAGCTACAGATTTATTAACTGTTGCATTTTAAACCCCAATAGAGACTTATATTTTCTTCTATTGTCTCAGGGAAAATGTGTTTTTTCCTAATTGGCCAAAGTGAGATTAGAAGCTGTGATGGCTGTACACTTCACAAAATCTTCTGGGAGCTTACAAAATGCAGATATTTTTGTGCACATAATCAGTGGAACCTCAACTCATGCAGATTCTCTGTGGTGCAAACTAATAGAGCTGGAAAAATAGGAAAACAAAGAGCTACCACAGGGTTTTTTAGTTTTTGGGCAGTGGGCTGCTTGAGCCCTGCTCCCCCTGGTCATGAAGACATACAATGAAGACATTAATATGACTTCAGATTCCCAGAGCACCTTCCACTGGGGAATGTTTCATACAGTAATGAACGGAGGCTCTGGCTTGTTCCATGGCAATAGGCATCATTACTCCCATTTTGCAGCCCAAAGCAGAGATGTGGAATAAATTGATCTAGATCAAGAAAAGAGTTTTAGGCAGGGCTAGGGACAGAACTGACAGAGGTTGGCTCCTTGTTGTAGTCTTGTACACAATTCATGGGTGTCCTTCCACAGGGAGATTATATCTGTACATGTCTTATTTCACACAGACTGTTGAGACAGTCTGACATCCATCAAAAAATCCCTGGTGTCTGCTCAAAAATTTTGGAGTAATTTACATCCATGGCAGTAAAAGCTGTATGCTGTTTATTTAGCAGGGCTCTTTTAATGTGCTGTTTGTTGTTTTCATAGTCTATGTCTTCTTCATATTGTAATCATATTAAAAGAGCATTCTTTTCCTGGAATAAAGAGGTAATGATTCACAAGAGGCATAATTATTCCATGCAGTGCAGGCAGGATGCTGCAGAAAGAGTCATCTTCTTTATGCATAAGAGGCTTTTATTGCAAGTGTTCTACACAGTAATTAAATTCCTTTGAATGAGGAGGCTTGATTGGATTTTCTTTGGTTTATTGGGAGGAGTTTGAAAAGCAAGGTATTTAGCTCAATCGCTATATAATTTTGGCATCTGTTAGAGGTTAGGTAGAAAGGTTCAGAATGTCTGATTCCCATTTCTCTTACATGTTACTTTACCTGAACTCCCTTGAATTCAATTGAATTGCACCCTATCTGTATTTGTATGAGAATCAAGCTCAGAAATTCCTGGCAGAAAGCAGCAGGACACCTGAATGTATGCTGCAAGAATCCAAATCATCTAAAGGAAAAAAGCCTTGCTAAAGAAAAGTTACTTGCAGTTGCAAAGGCAAATGCCCAAAAGTGAGGAAATTTCACATTTGCAGCTTTCCTTCAAATCTGATATTTGCCTTATGGTGAGTCCAGCCTTGATCCAGAATGCGACGAAATCTTAAAAGACAGAAACAATGAAATAGAACAATTTAACAAGAATCTGTGCTGTGGCCTGACACACAAGCCAAGATGAGGGCATGACACAACTCCTGAGTATTTGAGTTGTCAAAATAAATCATGTTCATTTAACATCAACTACTGTACACAACTGCCAAGTAATGTTTGCTTTTGGTTTTTTTCAAGGAAAAGAGTGAAAATGTAACTTAAAAGGAATACTCTGTTATATAGAGCCTCAACATCTATTAGCAATGGAGTTTGTGTCTTATGGAATAAATTACAGTATAAATTCTTCTTGTAACTCAATAAGGCTGCACGATACATCAGGAGGAGAGTGTTGCTCTGCCCAGGAAGTTGATGTGTGACACCATGGGGGAAATTTCACCCTACTCAGATGTCTCTGGAGGGAGACACACATGATGAGGAAAGTGGCCTTTTCAACAGCTCAGAAAAATGTCATGGGGCAATGGAAGGCACTTCCCTAATCTAGGGGCTCTCTGTCTGCCAGGTGTTAACACCCAGTGGGAGTGGGAATCTCTAAAGTGCAGGTTGCCAGCAGGGTCCTGTGAAGGTTGGGATCTCATAGAGGTTTCCAAGGGCTCTGCTTGTATCCCTGTAGTGATACTGGGGCCGGGTGACAGGAGGGCTCATTTTGCAGGGAGAAAGGCAGTGGGAAAAAGGAGGGGGAAGACCTATGGCCATCTTTTGTCAAGATAAAAAAAGGCAAATAAGAAAGATTTGGAGATGGGGAGACTGGAGGAGGAAGACAGTGACACAGGCATGGAAGTGCCAGTCCAGATAGTGACAAACTGGGGCCTAAGTCTCAGGGGGAAACGGCAGAACAAATCTGCATTCTGCAAACCTGGAGCTCTATCTGCCTCATGCCTGTGCATGAGACCCTCCCAAGCATAGGGGAGTGTAAGTCTCCAAAATAGGTCTTGAAGTGCAAAATTTGGTTTATTGCCAGGAACCTGAAAAGCAAGGTATTTAGCTCCTACGTAGTGTGAAAATTGCAGTGGAGAGGACAGGAACCATCACAGCAATGGTTTGCAGTTGTCTGTGATGTTGGCACGTTTGAACCTGGCTCAGGTCCAAGTTACACATAACTGTCCATGATAAACCTTGGGTGTGCTCATCAGTCATGATGAGCCTGTATCCTTGCGGGATACTGGGCCTGATGGATGTCTGCAGCTGAGGATGCTTCTGATTAATTTTGGTAATTGCAGCCAGAATGCTTTGGTTTATTACCTTCACTCCTTCCTACTGGCTGCCAGGCATTTTGAACCTAACAAACTGCCTGTCCTGTTGCCCTCGTCTGCCTCCTTCCTTTCAATCCTCTAGTCTCGGTGTATTTGAGGAGCACTATGAGTCCAATTGAACCTGGATCAAGTGGCCCAGGACTTTACAGAAGATAATCTTGTAAGCCAACATGGATGACTCATATCAAGCCATGGTTTCCCTCTTGTGACTCTACTGACTTTGAATGGTTGTGTTTCCCTTCACTGTTTATTAATTCTCAGCAAGGATCTCTCCTGAGGAAAGCTATCTGTACAGAAATTTGAAAACAGAGTGAAAACACTTTGTGACAAAAAAAAAGGGAATTTTGGCCCAAAAAAAAATTTTAAGGGTTGATTTTAAAAGTTTCTGTTTTGCTGATGTTTATTTTGTGTCTGGACTTCCTGAGCAGAGACAGTTATACCTGAGGACTACCTGGCTGATGCTCCAAACAGGAAGCAGTACAGTGTGGATCCTGCCGACGCTGCCTTGGGCTCCATGGGCTCCGTGTGCACCGTGCGGCAGAGTCCTGCAGATGGACACCCTGCTGGAGGCTCCTCTTCCTCCTGCAGCCATCGTCCTGCCCAGGTGTCTTCAGGGGGGTCCTCATCTACTGCCCTGCGGCATCACACCTCCAGCCCAACAAGGAATGGGGCCTATCTTGAAGGAAACACAAGTGGTAATGTAACATCTTCCGTTCAGCAATGTGTGCTGCTATGCTGGTGCTGGGCTGGAGTCATTACTCATTCCCAAATTCCCCAAAAAATTAGTAAAGTGGTTCTGTGATGGAATGCATCCAGATCACTCCTGCTTCCACTTAGAAGGGGTAATAATAACCTGTGTAAACACAGAATCAGTCTGTTCACCATTAAGTAAAAAGGTGAAGGTTTTCTAATGCTGTTGTTATGTAAACATACGTATTATGTATAATTGTGTGACAATGACACCTGCTATAACCAGCTCAGACATACTGACATTAATATATAAGGCATTCCTCCCAAAGATTTATACTGCCTACAGGCAGGTACCTGTTATTTGTGTGACACCAGCTGTGTACAAGATGTGATGCAGAGCAAACCCAAATATTAGTGCCTACCTCAAAGCATTTTAGCCAAATGTTTAGCTTCCTAGCTGTGTGCCATCCTGCCCCTTTAATTACATACCAAGCCAGATTTTACTTGAAAAAGACTCCCCAGCAAAACATATGTTTTTAAAAATCATCAGCTCACTGCTCAAGGTTCTTTTATTCTTCAGGAAGCCAAGTCACAAGAAGTTTATCTGCAAATTCAAGAAATGCCATGGGAACCACTGCGTTCAATGATTCTTCTTCCCTTTCTTTGTATTTTTTGTTCAGTTACTATTTGCTGGGGCAGTTGCTCTACTCATCCTCTACAGCTCCTATTGGCCATGATTTTTTTCCTCTAGAAATTCCCAAGTTCATCAGATGGGTTAGCTATTTCACTGAATTTCAGTTAACTTTGTTTGCATTTTCCAAATTCTCAGTCAACAGATCTTTATCAGTAGTGATGCCAATAGTGTTTTCACCCCTTACTAATTATTCAAACTTCATGTATGCATTTTTCATTCTGATGATAGATCTAACAAAGGAGTTGAATGTCTAAGCCATTGTAAAGTCATTCGTTTTTTTCCTTCCTCATTTATTAATGGAATCTATTGCCACTCAAGTACTATTTTTTAAAAATCTTGATATATTTGCAGAAGATTACTGGTTCCCCTAGCCCCTTTGTCTACTATTAGCTCATTACACTGTCTTTTTGCCCTTGGAAACTTTAATTGATTCAGCATATTCTTACTTGGAAGCCATTCCAGAGCCTCTTTCCAGTATCCTTTGCTTAATCTTTGCTTAATTTCTTCATATTCCTCACCTCCCCAACACCTCTATTATTTCTTGTTCCTGAACTTTCAGTATTTAATATTTTAGAACATTATTCTTCTAAAATATATATTACAAGTATTTTTCTCTCTGTATTTATTTGTTTATCAAAGTTTGCCTTCTTAGATATTCAATACCAACCCAAAACTGTCACTGACTTTGCTATTATTTTCACACACTTGCTTCCCTGGTTTAGCCCCGTGTTACTCTATTATAGAGACCACCGATAAGTGTTTGGTTCTCATAATTCTCTCATTCTTTACTTGCAGAATCTTTTTCAGTGCCTCTCAAGCTGACATAATCAGGTGCTGGGAGGACAAGAGGCTCACTCTCTTCTCAGTCTGCAGAAGATTAATTTACCCCTCTCCCACCATTTCCCTAGAGCCTCCTAGCAGAACTGGGACCCCTTCATCAAGCTTGATAGTTGGCAGCTGTGAGGAGCCAAGATTTAACAATGTTGTTACTTACTTGCCTTAAAAATCTTGGTCGTTTTTCTTGGGATCTGTCATTGTCTCTTTGAAGCACATATGAAGAGCCAAGGCAGTTCAGAGCAAAGGTCTGTCTAGCCACACATCTTGTCTCCAGCATAAAACAGCAGCATGCCCCAAGGAAAAGGATAAATGCAGGGGTGGTGGTGCCTCCCCACTACTCTCTTTGCCTTCATAAATTTGTGGCTCAAAGACTTCCTCAACCAGAGGTGGCAGATTCATACTTAGTAACCCTTCACAGATTTTTCTTCTCTGAATCACTTAGTGGCTTACTGAATACTTTGTGCATTTTCAGATATACAAAACTTCTGTGCATAAGAATGTGTTGTGTGGAGAAAACCTTTGGTATCAGGGGACAGAAACTGTGTTCAAGGGACTGAAGCTTAAAATCAGAGCTCCTTAAGCTCGTTCAGCTGCATTGTTTTCCCTTTTTGTTTTTGACTTTGTATGTCACTGTTTCTCAGTCTTGGCCAATGTTTTGTGAAACCTCCATGTAATCCCAAGCGGGAAGCTAAGCTTCAGGAGACACCTCTATCTCTCTTTTCATGACTTCACACAAAATCTGCAGTCTTTACAAAATGAAAGGCTGAAATATGGCTCACGGTTTTTCCAGAACTGAATCAACAAAAAAAGTCATCGAGTGGTCATGCAATAGGCTTTACAGATTCCTCTATTTTTCTGGTTTAAAACCATTAAAAGCCCTTTGAGGAGTAAAGAGGTAGAGATTGCTTTTACACCAGGCATCCATGACATAGGCGCCTCTGAAGCAGTAACAAGTGACTTGAAACTGCTACATATAATACCTGGGGTTAACAGAACTCATCCCAGAACAGCTTAGTAATTTTTTATGTAACAATCGTTTGACACTTGCATAGCCTCTGAGTTCTTCTGAGGTCTCTGAGTCATTTGGCCAGCTCAACAGTAAAGGCTTCCTAAAACAGAAATGTATGTAGTGCCATCATTAAAATGGTCATGGATTCATTGGTATTGTTGGGCTTTTCCTAATTTTCAGGCATTTATTACTCCTGGTATCACCCATTGTAGATTAGTGTCTACCACAGAGGCACATGCAAACCCACACAGGGTTTGCTGCCAAGGTGCCTAACAATCAATCCCTTGTGCTCCACCAGTGTATGGCAGCACAGACAGCCAGTGCACCTTTGTGCCACCACCATCCATTACACTGCTCCTAATCCTCTCAGCTGCTTTCTGGAGACTCCAGCAGTCTCCCACAGTCCATAGCACAAGCTGGGTCCTTTGAGGCAAAGGAGAGGCATTTGCTCTCAGACATGGCCAGGCAGTTTTCTGTGGCTGTGGTGGGTAATACAGTGACATCCATGAAGTCAAGGTGCCCACACATTCATTACAATATCACTTCAAGCATTAAGACACTGTGATGTTTCCAGTCACAGCCTGGTTTCATCTTTCACTATTTCCCATAGTATCAACTCTGTAACACTGGAATTCTCACCAGAGTCCTACAAAGCATTACCCCGTCCTCCTTAAAATTAGAGATTGTATTACTTCATAGAAAGAAATAATATTTTCACCCACCATGCTTCCACTTCTACTGGCAATCCCAGGCTTTTAGAATACATATTTCTGCAATTGCCCTAGGGCAGCCACACTGGAGTTTTAATGCTGTCTTCACAAATTCTCTCTTGCAAAGGTCTTTGGAATCTGTGCATGTGTTTTGCTCCTTTCTAGGCATAATTTATATGTTGCTGAATCATAAGTAAGCAAAGATGAGTAAGTGGTGCATGTCTCTGCTCTTATCCTCTTCAGTTTGTATACTTATGAGGCAGAGATGGGCTCATTAAAAAGAGGAAGAATTTATCGCTGAAAACTCAAACCAATCCTGTTTATTTATGGATAGTTTTGAAAAATAGCTTGCCTTATTTATCATGGTGGGCAAATATCATGGAAAAAGCCATAATCATAAAACATATCTCAGTGCATAGCAGAACATGTCTTTCAAGCGGAATGGATGAGATTAAACCTCAAAGCTCTCATTAATGCGATCGGAAGCTTGATGCCTAATTCTCCTTGATTATGCTAAAAAATTCTGAAAAAAAAAAAGAAGGATGTAAAAAAATCTCATTTCAGAAAGCCAGTTGGGGCTGCAAACAGATAAACATGCACTTTCCTGTCATCATTTGCCAAATTGAAGCTTTTAAATTAGGGAAGGAATAGTCAAGGACATCATAAACCTTTCCAAGCCTGCTTACATAACAGACAAAGCCTTTATCCCAAGTATGAAGAATTGTGTGTTCAGCCACAATATAATAACCTTAACCTTGCCCTGTAGCTTGTTATTTTTATGGAGATTTTATTATCTAGTATTAGCAGTTAATTATTATCACCTGAGGGTCTTTGTTAAAGAGGTAGTCCTGCTTATTAATACATGTATTTTCTGAAAACATTTGTGGGCATGGGGGTTGAAATTTCTCTTTTTCCAGAATAATGCTGCAAGCGGCTCATGGGGGGCAGATCCAGCACCTCCCCAAGGCAGAGGAGCTGCCGATGGCATTGTGAGCCTCAGCACTGTATTCAGCAAACACAGCCTGCCTGCTAATTTTTGAGGACATTTCAGTCTGAAAGTTTCAGTGCTTCCAGCGAGCTGCCCTTTTGTTTCCCTTACAAAGGAGAGGCAAAGCAAGAAAAGCCCGGATAAACATTCAGTGTTTGGATGCTGGGCTGCTTCTGCAGCGGGTGGAGGAGCACCTGCGATGCTGCATCCCATCCCATCCCATCCCATCCCATCCCATCCCATCCCATCCCATCCCATCCCATCCCAGTGTGCCATGTTGCCAGCGGGAGCAGCTGCCACACTGGCAGGACAGGGACTCTCCTGTGATGCCTTGCAAGGCAGAGGACACCAGCCAGGTGTGCCCGACGTGTCCTGCCAGCGCCAGCCACTGCAAACAGATGTGCTAAGCCTGGTCTTCTTTGCAGAGCTCTCTGCTGATCACGGCCTGTCAACACCCTGCCCCACCCCAAACATCCTGTAATTGTGTTCTCCCAGACGCCTGCTTGTCTGATGCATCTCTTCTTCTCCTGCTTGGTGTGCCCTAGATTTTTAGAAAAATATCTTAAAGCCTTACTCCTTTCCTTGTTTATAGTGGGGGGTGGTTTGGTTTTTAAAATAATTCCAATTTCTGTGCACCTTTGAGGGTCTGCTACTTCTGCTTAGTTTCAGTAGATCTGCTGCTCCTTATTATCTGCTCCAGTGCAATCAGAGAGAACCTTTTAAAATTTCATTCCCACCCCCTTCCCCTGAGGCAAAGAAATCATTTAGGCCTGCAGCAATATTAAAGTTCATCTGTCACTCCCTTTCCACTCTTATCTATCAATGACTGTACTCCCTCTGGGCTCTGTTTGTTTGCCAAGAACATATTTAGGGAGTCTGTTATTTGTCTTTCCTTCTTTTGCAGGTTTAACTCCATTTTAGCGTTTTATTTCCTTGTCATGCCTCTGCAGCCATTTGGCTGTTGGCTCTGTCTCCATTCTCCTTCTCAGGAAGGTCCAGAGGTTAGAGATGAGTGGCAGAGAAAAGTGTGGGGTGAAAACTCAGACTGAGCCAAACCACCTCTTTCCCTCAGCTTCACTCATCTTTTACCACTGACCTGGCAATTCCAGCTGTTTCTGTGTGGAAAATGGTCTTGACCAGGATGCCTGGAGACATTCCCCTGCAGAGGAACCTCTTCACTGTCCTTCCCCAACATCGTTTGAGGCAGGAGGGGAAAGTGCTTCCCTCTGATTACCCAAACCTCCATATCTCATTCCATTAATTTGACAAATTTTTGCCACCTGTCAAAAACAGGAAATTGGATTTGACCTAGATTATGATCTCTAAAAATAATTATTGGTCGCAAGCACTCCCATCCCTTTGTAATCTGCGTATTCATTATCATTTGATTAATTCTGATGACAGGATGGCATAGGATACCCAGGAGACATGAGACTTCCTCATTTATCTAATTCTTAGGTTAAGTGTGAATACCTTCAGATATGAAAAAAATGTATAGTACTTGCCCTGCTGCCATCAAACACTTTTGTGCTTAATATAATCTTTCACCAAAGTGATGCTATTGAAAGAAACCCTATGTCTTTGTACAGACACAAAATGATCTATTTTCTTTTGTAAAATGAGAAATTACACTCAGATGGCTAAATGACAATGTTAAAAAGCCAAAGAAATTAATCAACAAAATAAATTATAAAATATATGAAAAAACAGCTTGTTTCCAGACTCATCAGCTAAAACCTGCTATTTTGCTGCAAACTGGGGGTATCTCAGTTTTATTAATGACATTTAAAGGTAGCTTCTTTCACACAAGTAAATTAGCACACCTTAATTAATGAAAAGTGGCAAAGAATCCAAAACTTGATAATAATTGGGTCAATAAAGACAAAAAAAGTATTTGAAGAATTAGAATTGACACATAATTCTTGTTTATATATTATGCTATTACACTATCTCCCAGGCATGTATTTGAAAGGGTTGTCTTCACCTGCTAGGGTCTGGAAGAGTTCTAGCCATGCAGTCTCTTCAGAAAGGTCATTTATATATTTGTCTTTCAGAAATCACATTTATGCTATTGATTGCTAGATTGCAAAGGAGTGAATAGATTCCCCCTGTCATTTCAACCTTTTCTTCTCACCCCCCTTCCTTTTATTACAGATACTTCCAATACCTGTGAGGGCTCCCAGCTGCACTTGGGGCTCTCTTCTCCCCTTTGCCCTTTCCTGGGAACGTTTCAGGCAGGAGTCAGTGGACTGCAGGCTGCCCTTTCTCTTCCAGGTGTAAATCCCAGGCTAAGTCCTCTGGACTTTCCTTACATTTATACAAATTTAAGGGAAAAAGCATGCTCCTTGCTAGTGGCACATCTTCCCCTGACCACGTTATGGCAGTAGCAGAGAAACTTCTGCAGTCTTTTGGTCACAGCCAAACCTTTCTCTCCTCCCTCTATTTTCTGGTTATTTACAAAAGCCTGGTCTTTTTCCAGACCTTTGGTTTGAGGTGGTGTAGCACATCAACTCTCATCCAAACCATCGACAGACCATGAAGGGGAGAAATACCCCTCTGTCTCCAAGACAAGTCTCAGCTCTCCCACTTGTCCCTAACAGAGTTCCTCAATGCTACTGATGATCCAGGGGTTGGCCAAGATTATCCCGTTCGTTTTGAACTCTCTGTCTTCATTGTTTCATGCCAAAGGCTCCAGATGGTGCCTGTATAGTTGTGCATTGCATTTATTCTGTGAGCAGAGCCCAGGGTCACCTAAGTTCGTACGAACACCAGTCCTTGCTGTTTAATTAAAAGGACCTGCGGCTGTTCCTTGTCCTTTGTATCCAGAACAGTGACTTAGCAAATGAGAGTGCAATTATCATGATATTTACATCTCATCTCATTATGAAAACCATCGACCAGATTTGCACATTCATAGCACTGCTGCTTTCTGGAGCTCATTCTGAGTAACTGCAAATACACCTTGTTACATTATACTGTAAGATGAGCATGGTGGCAAGGAAAAAAGGACAAATATGCACATAAACCCATTATTGTGTGTATATGGACAGAGTGTCAGCTAGTATAAATCACCAGAGCTCTATTGAAGTCAATGGAATGACAACCTACATAAGCCCCAAACCTACCCAGCACATTTACTCATGTGCATTAGGATGGTGTTTTGAGCGATGTACGGGGATTCTCACACATCTCATCTGTCTTTATAAGCTCAATATTTCTCTGGAGAGCTCATCTCTTCTCTCCTCAGCAGTTCTGATTGCCTCTTGGCTACTTGGGGCATTTCCAGTCTCCAGTTTAGGTATCTGTGATCTCCCTCTATACACATTCTTCTGTTTGATTTCTGGTATTCTGTAGTGTATACTCGCTTTCCATTTCCACTTCTCTCATTAAAAACCGGGCCTTAACAGAAAGAGATGAGCAGATGTGAGCAAGTAACATTTAATGCATCTGTGTGCTGCTGCATGCTAATGCAAAGTTTGCTTGGTGTGGATATAAACAAATGGAAACAGCTTTCCTGTAACCTAGCATAATACAATTCTTGTCGTAAAGAAGCAGCATAAGTGGAGGTACAAATTATATTCAGGTGGAGATTGAGATTTATAATTCTGCAGAGACTAAGAATAAAAACATAAATGCACTTTCATTCCAATGTGCCTTTATTCATTTGATTTAAAGCTACAGCAAGCTGAAGTCACCTTAAATCATCGAGGGGTTATACCATTAAAAAGTCACATGTGCAATGTTCATCTTCACATGTTTTAGTAACTTTCCAAATTGGCATTCACTGGGGACCATCAGCTTTGTAAGAGACTAAGATTAGGAAGATATGGACTGAAAACCTTCTGCTAAGCTCTAAAACAAGCATGAATATCTGAATGCAAATTAAAAAAACCTATTTTTTAAATCTTGATTTTATCCCCTAGCCTTCACACTCAATGGCAAACTCCTTTGTTTAGTGCTGGAGAACTTTCTCTCCAGGTGTGAGGGCAGCGTCTTCTTGAGCCAAGATCCTTGCTGCTGCAGATCAGACAGCACGAGCAACTTGGTTTAAGAGCCTGGCAGGCGGCCCACTTTTCCTTCCCCATCAGGGACCAAAGGATTTCATGTTTTTTAACACAATTCACCAGCTGGGATCATGTCTTCCAATAAGCATTCTGATTGGAAACTTCTGCAAGTCCCCTTTTTTCCCTATGCTGCCATCTCATGCCAGTACTTTCATGCACAGATCCAATGTCCAGTGCTGCAGTGAGGCTGGCAAAGCCCTGCACACTCACAATCACAAACCAAGGAAACCTCTGCATGCCATTGTAATGCACTGTTGTGGGCTTTTTTGTACCAATAGCCTCAAGTCCTTCACCTGAACGACAAGATGCAGCTCGGCCATCAAGCAAGAATCCTTTGACCTGGACGGTGGATGATGTGGTTTGGTTTGTGAAGGATGCAGACCCTCAAGCTTTAGGCCCTCACGTGGAGCTCTTCAGAAAACATGTATGTAGAAGGTTACCCTTACCACCTCTAGGTAATTTAAGTCACAAGAGACAGCCAGCACATGTCACACATATCCCCTTAGCAGCCTTGGGCTTGCTCAACCAGGCTGAATGCAGAGCCTGGCAGGAGTTCAGCACCTCTGGATGGTTTGGGCTAAAGAAATTTCACTTATCCCTTGAGATGGAGGTTAAACACCAGGACAGGCTTTGTGAAAAGGTGGGAGATGCCCCAAGCTTGTCAGTGTTAAAGAGGCCTTTGGAAAGTGCCCCTAATAATAAGTGTAATTTGGTCAGCCCTGAATTGCTCTGGCAGTTGGACTAGATCATTGTAAATCCCTTCCAACTGAAACAGTTCTATTCTATTCTATTCTATTCTATTCTATTCTATTCTATTCTATTCTATTCTATTCTATTC